ATACAGGGTAGCCGTGAAATAAGCCTTTATGGACGAATAAGCGGTAGCGTTTGGGCGAGAATGGAGATATATGGCAACGCAACCAGTGTAGTTAGCCACTCACTGGCCGGAGGGACTGGCTATGAGGGCAGCCCCCTCAAAAAATTATTTTATATGAATAATGGAAAATATGGAGAAAAAGGTTACTGCATCAGGGGATTCGGATGCCTCAGTGCCGGCGGTTGGTGGGGGGTGTACCCACCAGGTGTCGTTATCAAACGAATACACAGTAAATGCAGGAGTGTTGAGGCAGGCTCCTGCAGCCAACCACGTGGTTGGTACTGCGACTGCAGGGAGTGGTTGTGACCAAGCCACTCCCACCGGTGAAATAGCCGGGAGGATATTGACAATGGACAGCCTGGATACTGGAACGGAACTGACATCGGCCACCTCCCTGGATGCGTCTCCAAAACCCTCCATATTGGAGAGGTTGCGGAGCGCGTCTAGGGGTGGTTCTACAAGGATGGGTCCTTTGGGTCAGACCAATGTGGTAGACAGTGTGGTAGAGGTGGCGGATCTGGGGGAGGACGATTCTCTCCGTCCCAAAAGGAAGGGGATCTCCCCGTCCCTCGAACCCACCACCATTACGCTGGAGGACACCCCACCTAGCGTGGCCATCCCCATGCCGGAGACGCCTGCGCCGGTACTGGCCAAAAAGGTTGGTACCCTGACAGCACTGGACTTGTTTAGCGCCGACGGGTCACCAAATAGGGTGGTTGGCCGGTCCGACGAGGTGCTGTCGGCTGGGTTGGCCCTCCTCGGAGAATAAGCAGGGCAACTAGAGGACGTATTGGAGGTGTACTCCCCGCAACGCCGTGTGGTCAAGATGGCAAGGGCCCTCATAGACAGTGTTAGGGTCCTCGCTGATCTTCACCTGACTCGCACACCGGAGCGGGAGTCACCGACAACAGATCCTGGTGCTCCGGTGACCAAAGTCAACGTGTCGTCCCAGACGGACTGCTGGTGGGACACTTATGACCCACCATCTACGGCCGTCGGGGTCACGTCCCTTTCCCTCCGTAGGAGCGGGCACACTCCCCTGCTGCAAAAAGCGGCGGAAGAAAGGGAAGAAGAAGAAGGAGGGGACGGCAAAGAACGATGTGTGTCCACCTGCGGACATCACAGCGCCCTTGCCCTCAAGTAGTGCAGCCCCACCCCCTCCTTGTCCAGCTCTTCCTGACAGCTCTCCAGACCCCGCTCCTGCCACCTTGTGGACAGAGGTGGTAAAGCGGAGGGGGGCCAAGAGAGTGGAGAGAGCAACAGCGGCTCCCAAAGTGGAGGTCCCTGGTGGGCCCAAGTCTAAGCCGCCGCCACTGTCCCGAGGCCCGACTGCCGCCCAGCTTAGGGTAAAAGTTCCGAGGACGGAGGCGTTGGTGATTGGACCACTCAAGGAGGGGCAACGGTACGCCGCGGTCATAAAGACCGCGATGGCTGCCGTTGACCTCAACGCCCTTGGGGTCCATTGGCGGGCACCAGGTGGATCCGTACGGGAGCCGTCTAGCTGGAGGTCTGGAGATCGGGCGCCCAGGCTGACAGCTTAGCTGACAGCCTGAAAGGCGCCCTGAAGGAGCATGACGTGCGCGTCCACCGACCGGTGATGACAGTGCCCGTCATGCTCCTGGACGTGGAGTAATGGACGGAGTAGGGCGATGTGCAGAGCGCACTGCTGGACGCCCTCCGCCGTCCGGAGGACAAGTCGCCGCCGGAAATCGGACCCGTCGTGGTCCGAGAGAACTCCGGCGGCAAAGGGCGATACGCCCGGGTGAAGGTGCCGGCAAGGCTGGCCCCTCGCCTCGCAGATCTCGCCCGTATCCGCGTTGGATGGGTCACCTGTAGGCTGAGGATCCTTGGCGACAAGGGTCCGAGGTGCTACAGGTGCCTAGAGCACGGGGAGGTGGCGCAGACCTGCAAGGGACCGGACAGGTCCAAGGGGTGCTTCTCCTGTAAAAAGGAGGGGCACCAGGCCAAGGACTGTCCGGGTGTGGGGCCGGTCTTAAAGGCGCCGACGACAAAGGGGGGGCCTGGAAAGAAGGCTCCCCCCGGGAAGAAGAAAGGGGGAAAGACGCTTGGGCCTGCTCCTTGGCAAGTAGCAGACCTTCACTCAGCAGGATCTCGCTTGGCGGAAGGTCCCTCTTAGGCGTACCGTCTACATTAAATAGGTCGGCCGCTGAGTAGTCCATAAGCTTGGCTTTTTTGGCCGTCTTCTTTGACGGACGCGGAGTCAACGGCATAGGCAATAGCCTCTCCTGCGGTGTGTCCTCCGATGAAGATGCCAAATCCTTGGAAGGCACTGGGGAAGTCTCCTTCCCCAACCAATCCCCTCGGGAGATTGCGGCATCATGACCATCTTCTCAGGATGGGTCGAGCCACCTTTTCTGTTACCAGCCCTAATGAGCCTCTCTATAATGGAGATGGATCCCGATGGTACCGGTATAGGCTGTTGATGCTTATCAGCCAACCCATGTACCACTTCTATTGAATCCCGCGCGGATTCGGGCACATATGTTTGTATATGAAACGTTTTTATTTTTAAAATTGTATCTAAAAAATTTATTTATGTAAAGATTTAATAAAACTAAGCCAAAAAATAACTTATGTAGTATTTTCAAAATTATATATTATATAATAAATATCGGTCACTTATGGCTAATTAGTTAAATAAAATTAAACTATATCAATAATATTATCAATTTAAAAACTAAAAAATATTAAACTAAACAGCCACAAAAAATTCAAATATGAATAGGAATTAGATGGAAAATTTGGATTTATTAGTAAAAAGTGCAGAGGGGGAACTTAAATTTGAAATTTAACGGAAAATCATGCACACGTTCTGGTACATTCTGAAAAAATCGAACCACAGATGGCAACAGAAATTGGCAACTTTTAATAGTATATTTTACAGATTAATTAATATTCCTTATAATAAAATAGATTTTGATAAAGAACTGGTGGTTATAAAAGAAATAGCTAGATTTAATGTGTATAACAGAGACATAATTTCAAAATTAGTCCAAACACAAAAGCGGAATATAGAAAGAAGGACAGCTAGTGCACTCACTGAGGAACAAAGAGTAATTAAATCACCTATTTGATATTATCTGGTGATCTCAAATGGACTAGCTAGATTTTTTTAAAATGTTGGTATTACCGTAGTAACATCTAAGAGTAATAATTTAAGAGATTTATTAGGTAACCCTAAAGATAAGGTAGAAGAAGGGGGTAAATCAGGCATTTATAAATACAATATGAAAGTTGTAAAAAATGTTACGTAGGACAAACAATTAGAAATATGGGAGTCATGTTTAAAGAGCACTTAACATTAAAAATCAAGTAGTTGAGAAATCTCCAATGGCTGAAAATTTATTGACACATAATCACTCCATTAAAACTATAAAACTAATTAAAAACGTAAATAATTACAAAGAACTTAATATAAGGGAGGCAATAGAGACGTTTATAAATAAAAACAATTTAATTAATTGGGATCTTGGCCCACTGAAAAATTCATTATTAAACTTTTGTAATTTGGTAAAATGTGATATTACATTGTGATGACGTCGCCAAGGTCATTGGGGTATATAGGGAATTATTTATAGTCGCGGTGTTGGTATGCGTTTAACGTTGATAATAGTAACATTGTTTCTGGAATACGTTGATGTGTGTTTGTGGGGGCGCCTCACTTGCGCCTCCTCCGGCGCCTCACTTATAATCTCCCCGGCGCCTCACTTATAATCTCCTCCGGCGCCTCACTTATCAAAATTATTAGCGCCTCCCTTATCAAAATAAAAATTCAATTTGATAACAAATAATAGCGCCTCACTTATAATCTCCTACAGCGCCTCACTTTTCAAAATTATTAGCGCCACCCTTATCACGTTATTACCGCCACACTTTAAAAACGTTTCATTAATAAATGATCGCAATAAATTTATATGCGTTCTGAAATAATATTATCTCCCTCCATTAATAGTTGTTATATATACGTTATTATTTTGGTATAAAAACTATAGTTTCTTTTAATAAAATTCAGTAATTTTTGATTTGTAATCGGTGAAGTTTGTAAAATAACGTGATCAACGTGAGGATAATTTGAAGACTATCATCCACAGATAAAAGTAAGTTTTTTAATAATTCATATTAAAACACAAGATTTATTATTTTACAATGATATGTGTATTTTAAATTTTAGATGAGTATGATAAATAAAGATTGGTTGAATGGTATGAAAAATAAACGTAGAATGTGTGTGTCTGATCTTAAAATAGGAGTAGAATACAAGGTTCTGGGACTGTACGTGATAAAATCAAAATACTCGAATGAGACTCCAGTGGCTGAAGTAAAACTTGATAATGAACCGTCATTTCAAGTTTATTTACCCGCAAGATTTACATTCACTCGTGAAGATTTAAACAAAGGAATCGATGAAAATCTCAAACTTGTATGCAACGGAAGAAAAGATCACACCTCTAGTTACGATATAATGTTCTTATAACTAATTATTTTTTAATAGAAATATGTGTTAAAATAAATATTGTATTTTTTAAAAAAAATGAAATAATTATATGTACAATTAAATGATTAATAAATTACTCTCGTTTAATTTAAAGAAACGCGTGTTTTATTTACTGGAAAAAATCCTGATCATGCTGTGAATAAATTACGTGAGAAATCTTTAGAAATTAAAAACTCAAGATTATAAATTGCAACATATTGTCTGGAAATATAAGATTGTAAAATAAAATGAATCATCTAGTATACAAAAAAGGTTGTAAAATAAAATACAATTGTATCATTTAAACATATTGCAACATCGAATAAGTAAAATTCTGCGAAAACGATCGGCAACTAGGATGGTGAGTTGGATGGTTGTGATTAATCAGGTGAAAAAGTCGAATAAGAAAAATTCCGAGAAAACCATCGGCGTCTAGGGATAGTAGTAAAATTGCTAACATTTGCAAAAATATAACAATTAAAAACAGGAAAAATGTCCTGTACCGGTTTAATAGTGATTTGGTTGTTGTTTCGATATCATCCAGTGTTTTTAGTTATCAGATATCATCAACATGAGTTTCACATGTAGTGTTTGTTGTAAAACTTTTAATTTTTCAAAGGATTTAAAACGTCATGCCGATACTGTACATAAAAATGATTTTTATGATTGTGTTTTATGTGATAAAAAATTCTCGAGAAAAGATAACGTTAAAAGACATGTTCAACGAGTACATTTTCTGAAAGGTTAGTAAATTATATTGTATTTATTACTCAAATGAATAAATTTTCAATATAAATTACATTAAATTATATTCTATTTGTTACTTAAATTTTTAATTTAAATTATTTTTTGAATAATTGTTATTTAATTCAAATTCATGATAGAAACAGAAAAATAGTGTATACGCTATATATGTAATTTATTGATATTATTTATTATTAAATTTTTAATTTAGGTGATGTTCAGAGTATATTAAATTACGGTGCAAGTACTTCTAAACACTACCAAGAAAATAGTACGTATATTTTTAAATTTATTATTTATTACTTTTATTTTATTCAATTGTTTTTTTAATATAGATAGTAGAATCGATTGTATCAATCATATGGAAAACGAAAAGAAAATCAAGAATGATGAAAACAATTTTTTCAATAACAGTGACGATGAACTCTGTAAGTTAAGATTGTAAAATATTTTTTTAATGTTATGATATTTTTTATTAACATTATACTTTTAAACAGTAAAAGAATTCATTAGAAAAAAAAATATGAAGACGGGTAATAATTTTTCTGACGGTAAAGACAGTGACGACGATTTTTGTAAGTTCGATTATAAATATTAAAAATTAATAATTAATTATTTTATCGTTATTATTATTATTATTATTATTATTATTATAGTACTTGAAACTGCTAAAAAAATTGATCCGACACCAACAGATGTAGAAATAGTGAATGTATATCCTGGGGATAGTAAAAACTGTAAGTATAAAAGTGAAAACGCATGTATATATAATAATCATGTAATTATGTTTCAGGGATCGAGCGATTTTCAGAAGATATTGAATTTGAAGATGTATGTAAGTGAGAATTCATTAATTAAAAATAAAATTTAATATTAATTAATAATTATCGTTATCAGGCGTAGAAAATGAAATGACTGGTACAGGTATTCCACACGCGCAGCAAACTAAACAATCGATACCGAATAGTAAGAAAATCAACTTGATAATAGTGTCGAAATTGTGTTTTAAAAATTATTTTTCATTTACAGATGATTGTGCAAAAAAATCGCGTGCGAGAGTAATAGAATCAGTTTTTTCGGGCAATATAGTTGTACATAGAATTGAAAACATAGATCCGTTTACTATCCCCGAATTCATTCAACGATATGCGTCGGACATTGAAGATGTGTGGAAGAATTCAATTAAAAAACATATTGCGGTAAAGACTTCTTTAGATTTAGTTACAGTTTATAAAAAAATAATTAATGTCAATAGTAGTGCTAATTTAGAAGTACCCACAATTACACAAACACTTTCGATTTCTCCTTTTGTTTTAACACCATCAAGTAGTATTTCCGAGTGGATTACTACTATTAAACATCTGCTACAGAATAAGTCCGAAGAGGTTGAAACGCGTGGGAGCGGATGGGTTTTCAGGGGTGTAATTTTTTTGGATATTAACTGTTTTAAATATGATCCTATAAGGGGAGGGTGTAATACGGTAATTCCAAAAAAATTACTTCGTAAAAATGCTTTGACAAACATAGAATGTGAGGGGGAAGATTGTTTTTTTTGGGCTGTGGTTGCTAGTTTATATCCGGTACAATCGCGTGGTGTGGATAGGAGTAAGCCCGATTCTTANCGTGGTTGCTAGTTTATATCCGGTTCAATCGCGTGGTGTGGATAGGAGTAAGCCCGATTCTTATCCACATTATAATACAGTGTTAAATACTACGGGATTTAACTCACCTATAACTCTTTCAGAAATCAAAAAATTTGAAAAAAATAATAATATAAGCATAAATGTTTACACTTATGCTAATGAAAAAATTGCGGGTCCATTACATTTAACCGAATATAAACGTAGCAAACACGTTAATTTATTGTTTATAGATAGAAATGATAAACCCTTCGGAAATTTCTGTTGTATTTCTAATCTAGAGCGATTGGTATCCACACAGCTCTCCAAACATAACTCCCGTAAGTTCTTATGTGATGGTTGTCTATTATTCTTTTATTCGGAATTAAAACTAAAACAACACCAGCTTGAAAATTGTATGCGTGTAAAAACGGTTGTACCAAAGCCACCCAAAAACATCATGAAATTTCAAAATTATAATAAACAATTCCCGTCGAATTTGTCATCTACGCCGATTATGAATCGATATTAAAACCTATAGCTACATGCGATCCAAATCCGGCACAATCTTTTTCAAACAAAATTAGCATTCACTAACCGCATAGTTTTTCTTATTTTATAAAATGTTCATACGATGAAAATTTGGATCGTATGGAGCTATATCGTAGAGAAAATTGTGCGAAGGTGTTCATTGAGAAACTAAGAGAAGATATAAACCGTATAAGTGATATTTACTCGAATTCCGTTTCAATGATGCCGTTAACTTTAAAACAAGAACACGATCATTATTTAGCAACTGTGTGTCATATTTGCGGCGGAGAATTACGTTATCACGATAAGGTTTTCGATCATTGTCATTTAACGGGAAAATATCGTGGCGCTGCGCATAGAGATTGTAACCTAAAATGCACGGTTCCGTCATTTGTTCCCGTAATTCTGCATAACATGCAGAATTATGATTCGCATTTTATTATTACAGAACTTGGATTTGGGGATGATGATGAGGGCATTGAAGTAGTGGCAAAAACTAATGAGAAATACATGTCAATTAGAAAAACAATTAAAACAACTAATAATAAGCGGTTGACGTTGAAATTTATAGACTCATTAAACTTTTTACCTTCTTCTATTGAAAAATTAGCTGACACTT